CCCTTAGTTAACAGATTGGCAACTGTCCGAGAAAAGTCCTAGTGTCAATTCACACTTTTCTTGCTCTGGTTTTACATTTCTTCTTAGTTTTCAGACCTTGGAGATTACCCTTACATTGTAACAAACTCAGCTATGCATTGAAGATAATAGGTTTTTGTTGTTCTGTTCATCAAAATTTTCAAAATATCTCATGTTTTACAATAAGAAGTTTTCAGCTTGTTTGCTTTTCCCTTTACTGACAATAGGGTTTCCCAATATGTTTTTTAAAAAAATCTTATTCACCATACATTCTTTTTTACAAAAAAAAATATTTTTATTGATTTCAGAGAGGAAGGGAGAGGGAGAGAGAGAAACATCAATGATGAGAGAGAATCATTGATCGGCTGCCTCCTGCATGCCCCCTACTGGGGATCAGGCCCACAAACCGGGTATATGCCCTTGGCCAGAATCGAACCTGGGACCCTTCAGTCCGCAGGCCAACACTCTATCCACTGAGTCAAACCGGTCAGGGCTCACTACACATTCTTAAATGTTCCTCATTTAGGGGAAATTTATATAGAAAAAAGAAAAATCTAGATCTCTTGTTGATTCTCTTATCTATTACTGACCCTTACAATAATTCTACCAAGAAGACTTATTTTAGCCCTAGCTGGTTTGGCTCAGTGGATGGAGCATCAGCTTGCAGATTGAAGGGTCCCGGGTTGGTTTCTGGTCATGGGCACATGCCTGGGTTGTGAGCCAATCCCCAGTAGGGAGTGTGCAGGAGGTAGGCGATCAATGATTCTCTCTCATCATCGATGTTTCTCTCTCCCTCTCCCTTCCTTTCTGAAATCAATAAAAATATATATTTTTTAAAAAGAAAACTTATTTTAAATCAAATGAAGTATATTCCACATATCGTTAAGTGATATTTAATTCTTATAACTTAATATACAGTCTACCTATCTGATTGTCTTGATAAGAATTCTTATATAGCATGCAACATTCACTGTAGTTTAAGCAATTTTTGTACACTTTCATAAATGTTTGCTTAAATTGTAAATAATATTTGGGTACTCTATGTCAGGCAAAAGGATATGATGAGCATCAGAGACAAAATTTCTGCTATCCTAGACCTTACAGTGTTAAAAGGCAGAGGCATTAATTTTATTAAGTATGATGAAGAGAAAAGCATTGAGTACTTTCAGAGCATATCATAAAACACTCAATTCTTTGTTCACAAGTATGTATTAACTACAGTTAGCCATGTAAGGAAAGAACCACTATCAGCAGGCTAATCCAAGGATTAAGTGAGATCCTGGGTATGAAAATATCCAGAGTTCTTGTCATATAATATTTGAAATGCTTAAGACCTTTTGCTAAAGGTAAACCTGGGAATATAGGATGCAGATTGGAAGAGTGAAGACTCAAAACATTAGTAACAGTGAGCTAGAAAATTTAAATTTAGCTATTTAAATGTGTGTTTTCACTCATAGTTTAGAACTAACTGCTGGAAAAAATATCAGACCACTGTAGCTGAATCTTTGAATATATATTATACAGAATAAGGTAGAGTATGGTTCTTAATGGAGCAGCTTAAATAAATTATGTAAATACACATATCCACTGTTGTACAAACAGAAAGTTAACAAAATTTTAAGTCTGAATAATATTCTGTATAGGGCCTTTACACAATCCCTTATATAGTTTAAAAGACCTACAAACCTTCAATTGTAAATGTTTTCTCTCAACTGCTATATGTAACCTTAGACAGAAACAGTCACTAGATGTGAACTAACACTGTAGCATAAACCATTCTATAGTTACTTAAATTTTAATTATAATTAAAAATATACTAAAAGATATCTACAATTCCAAATTTTTAACAATGTTCTAAAGTGCACAAGCCTTGTAAATTCTCTGATGAAAACTTACTCGAAGTAATTTATTTATGTCTTTCTCTATTACCACTATCCTATTTCAAGCCATCATCATCTCTTTAGATTCCTGCAATAACCTAC